ATTTCTTTCATTCTATGCAACCATTTTGAATATTTATTTGTTTAAAATTTGAAACAGTAAAACTGTACAGACTTTGAAGTATAATTTCATGAATGAACTAAAGTGCATTCATACATGAAATGTTTGGTTGATTAATATCTTTACAATTGAAATATATTCTTCTCTTTAAAGTGTTAATTATTTTTAAATTAAAAAATGAATGAAGAAAAAAACTTTATATTTAGTAATTACCTAAATTTCATCCTTTTTTAGCATTTCAGTTTTTAATATAATTCACTTATTAGTTACTAGAAAATTATTTATATAAACTAATATATCAGGCTATAACTAAAGAATTAAAGTTCACACCAGGTAGATATAAAATTATTAAGTAAATAGTACATTTTTACTTTCTTGAATTCTAACATTATTTTTCAAATATCTCTTAACTTGCATGGTTATATATACAAGTTCAGTAAAAATTATTCACCGGCTATGTGTCTTTTCATTTCATTTTATTATTTGTCTCATTTCACAATTATTTCCAAGAATATGTTCCCATATAGAAGAGGGGATTGTTAAAAATGTTCTCTGAGCATCAAATATGCCAGGTACAGCCTAGTCATGGGCTATACCCATTGTGATAATACAACAGTGATTTCCATGAGAATTCTTAAAAATTAATTCTTATTTTTGAAAGTATTACATATGCCCCCCTTTCCCCCTATTAACCCCTTCTAGCCTCCATAAGAAGTTTTAAAATGAGAAGCTTCCTAAACCTATAAAGACTTGGAAACGGATACTGTATCATTTGATAATTTGGGGATGGTTGAGGTTCCATCCTTTTACTGCATGTATTTAAATTATTTTTAGCATTGAGAATTTCCTACCACTAAATCTGAATGTTTGAGAAAAACAACAGGAACAATAATAGCAGGAACAACCATAACTAACATTGGCCTATAAACCCCAGCCACAAGCAAATGTGATCTTCATCTCTCTTCAGAAAATGTTTTGTTTTGACAGGACAAACCCACTGGGGTCAGGTTTGGATGTCCTGAGTGTCATAAGAGGGATATGCACAATTCAGGACAAGCAGCAAAGAAAAGTCAACATGCTTGTCAGGTGGAAAATTAAAATGGTGCCAATGAGCTCAGTGCATCATTCCTGCCCTGAAACATTAGTTTTTGTTTCAGAGACATGGGGAATATAATACCTTCTTTGTACAGAGAGAGTATTCTTGATGACTTTTAGAGAGTATGGCAAGCCTGTATTTATCTATTCATTCCTCCATTCAAGAAAAATTCCCATGATAGACAATGTGGCAGTCGATAATCCCCATCCTGCTGATAAGAATATGCAGGAACTGCAGGAGTGTTCCCATAATCCCATTGCAAGTCAGCGATGTGGTCAGCTCACTCTCTTCTCCACTCTGTACACTCCTCCCAAATATATAGTCAAAGAATGCTGGAACTACAAGGGATGATCAACTGTACTACTAGCACTGGGTGACAGCTCGATGGCTAAATGTAATATAACAGAAAGCGAGATTTACAAGTAACTTTATAGTGTCAGTCACACACTGAAGGAAGTGAAGTTGTGTATGTATTTTTGTGTGGGAGAGGGTGGTAAGTGATAATTTTCTTCTTTTTGCCATCCAATCCTTTTATTTTTATTTTAAAGAAATGGAATGCCAGGGAGCCTGGGTGGCTCTCTCAATATCACACAATGTTTTAGCATTTGAACAACCATGTTCAAATGAATATTCTAATTTTTAGCTATCTCCATGACCTTTATAAATATCTCAAAAGCATCAAGCTCTGTATTTTCTCATGGTTGATAAGCAAAATGTAAATTTCTCCCACATAATGCTATTCCATTTATTCTGAAGCAGCTAGTCTCCATGTCACTGTTTCAGAAAACCATGACCCAAGTGCATATCAATTCATGAATCTGCCATGAGATCCCTGCCCTCTCTGCCTTTGCCCTTCTATGACCTCCCATGCCCACTCACTGCTCTAATATCAAAGAGCTCCTGGTTCACCTCATAAGGTTCAGCTCAAACACAACCTTTCCATAAGCCTTGTTCCAATAGCCCCAGCAGAAGTGAATCTTCTGCACACCCACGCAAAGTTTTCACCTCTTTACCAGTGTTATTTTGTTCTCCCATTGGTCAAGTGTTTTTATTTTCCACTGGAAGGCATGCCCCATGCTGGCAGATACCATGTCTTATTTATTTTATTTTTTAAAATATATTTTATTGATATTTTACAGAGAGGAAGGGAGAGGAATAGAGAGTTAGAAACATCGATGAGAGAGAAACATCCATCAGCTGCCTCCTGCACACCTCCTACTGGGGATGTGCCTACAACCAAGGTACATGCCCTTGACTGGAATCGAACCTGGGACCTTTCAGTCCACAGGCCAATGCTCTATCCACTGAGCCAAACCAGTTAGGGCCCATGTCTTATTTATTTATAAGAGATCCCTCTGAGCCTTCCTTTCAGCCCAGGTGAGCTTGAAGAAAAAAGAGTGGTAGATAGTAAACTTATTTCAGAGAAGATACTCTGTTGTTAATTAATCTTGTCTCACAAATGGAATGGTAAGTTCCTTGAGGGAAGAAAGTCTTTGTCACTCTGGCTGGGTTGCTCAGTTGGTTGGGGTGTCATCCCTACACCAATAGCTTTTGGTTTCTATTTCTGGTCAGGACACATACCTAGGTTTCAGGTTTAATCCCTGGTTCCTGCACATTTGGGAAGCAACCAATGGATGTTTCTCTCTCTCTTTCTCCCCTTCCCCCTCTCTCTCTCTCTCTTTCTCCCCTTTCCCCTCTCTCTAAAATCCTATCTAATAATAGACAAACATGGTAATTGACTGTACCTTCGCTATGCCTCCCATTGGCTAATCGGCATGATATGCAAATTAACTGCCAACAAAGATGGCAGCTAATTTGCATACTGCAGGCAGATCCTGCTGCGCCGCCCCGCCTGGGGCTGGCGGCAGCACGATCCCCAGCTGCTGGCCGCCCCAGCGGGAGATCCTGGCCTGCCGTGTGTGGGGCAGGGAGGCAGGGTGGCCGGCAGTGAGATCTCACGCCACTGCCTGCCCAAGTGCGGGATCCGGGCCTGTCCTTTATGGGGCAGGGTGGGCGGGGTGGGTGGCAGCGCAATCCCCGCCCACCCCAGCGCGGGATCCGGGCCTGTCGTGTGTGGGACGGGGTGGGCGGCAGTGGAATCCTGAGCCGCCGCCTGCCGCCTGCCGCAGCACAGGATCCGGGCCTGCCCTCTGCGACCAGGGGAGATGGGGCAGACACCGCAGGATTGGGTGTGCCATTTGCCACCAGGGGAGCTGGACTAAGCCAACAGGTGGTTATCTCCCAAGGGGTCCCAAACTTTGAGAGGGCACAGGTTGGGCTGAGGGACCCCCCCTCCCACCAGTGCACAAATTGTTGTGCACCGGGCTTCTAGTCAATAATAATAATAAAAAAAATATCCTCCCATGAGGATTAAAAAAAGAAATTTTTGGAAAAAGAAGGCCTTTGTCTATAACTATCGTGTCGTTTTTCACGATGCTGGCACAGAGTTATGGGCTCCATAAACTATGATTGACTTATCCCAGTAAATGAAAAGGGAACTTAGGAGGCTGAGAGAGCCTATTAACTTAGGGAGAGCATCGGACTTCTGGAAACAAAGGTTTCACTTGGTCTTTCCGCCTCTGCCTCCTTGCTTTTTTGTCATAAGTCTAACCACATCTAGGTCGGTACTTCCTTTTGCTAAATTATCTTACCCTTTCTCTTCAATTTTTTGAAAACCTCATTCTCATAACTTCACTTTTAGTTTGCTTTCATTTTTATTCTGAATTTTTGGAAGCAACTGAATTGGAAAGCCTTATTGTGCACTTATTTGAGATCTCAGAGCACTTATAAATACAGGGTGTCCCCCAAAAATGTATACACACTTTGAATGATTATAAAGTCAGTGTTTATTAACATACAGTTCATTTTCTAAATTAAGTGAGTTATCAGCTGTTAAAGTGTGTATACATATTTTTGGGACACCCTAATTATAAATATTCAGAGCTTCTAAAAGTTCTTTACAGGTTTCTTGTCTCAATCTGATTCCCGAAAACTCAATCAGGTAATACTTACTCTGAGCAAGGATTGATGATATGTGAGCAGAAATTATGGTGACAGGTTTATCAGATGTTAGGAAATAGCTAAAAACGAGCATATTTTTATACCATGCTGCCAAGGGTATAGAAAAAAAGTGAAAAATTATGCTAGGTAGAGCAGTATAGGGAATGTGGGGCCATAATAATATACATCAGTGATTTTCAACCTTTTTCTTCTCATGGTACACATAAACTACTGAAAATTCTGTGGCACATCTAAAATACATTTTTTGTTGATTTGACAAAAAATAGGTATAATTCTGATTCATTCACCCCAGATGGCTATTGTTGTGTTGGCTGTCATTATATTTTTGAACAAGCTAAGGGAAAAGAGGTCAATGCTTCTGACTAAATAGTCAGGTATTGCATGTTTTAAAAATTCTTGTGGCACACCAGTGTACCTACCGCGGCACACCAGTTGAAAATTGCTGATGTGTATTGTTTTTGTTGTAAGAAGTAAATGCGTTAAAATACTTATGTGTTTTAAACAACCCCTGGAATATAATAAGTAATTGACTAAAAAATGCTGTTATTATTTGCTTTCTATTAAAGTAGGTATACAATAATAACAATAAGTAACAATAAAAATATATACTTTTATAATAAAAATATTTTGGAAATTTAGGAAATTATTGAATACTTGAGGGAATTATTTATTTATTTTTTTCAGCAAATATGTATTATGTGCTACCACATGCCAGACACTCTGCTAGTGAGGGTCAATTACTGAAAATGTTATCTCAAAAAATTATAGCATGGTGCTTAAGAAATCTTTGGCAGAGACCGTTGAAGTAGCAAAGGTCTGGTCTTTCCAGGACAGATTTGATTTTAATCTTGTTTTTATCTTTCAGGAGAAAAACCATGTGAAACACAACTTCGTGTTCAGAGGGAGTCAATGCAGAACGTCTATGCAGGGGACCCATTTCAACTGGAATGCCCTGTGGTATACTGCGCTGGCAGACCTAACGTGACCTGGTGCAAGTTGAATGAAACCCAGTGTTTGCCTCTGGGGGCTAGCAATCGGTTACACATGGAATGGGAACACAGACAGAATACTTTCATTTTTATTCTACATTTTGATCAAGCATTGCCTACTGACAATGGATCATACCGCTGTTCTTTGAATGTTTCATCTGTACTCTTTGAAAGTCACTCAATAGCTGTTAATGTGATAGGTGAGTTCTAGACAATGAGACTAATATTTTTCTCATCATGTTTCAAGGAAAAGGAGAACCCAGATTCTTAAGTAATTGTGTTAGACACTGAACTTATAAAACATTAAAATGGTGCTATACCTCATAGACTGAAACATGTATGCACATGTGTGTGTGTGTAGGTATATGTGTGTTTTGGGGTGAGTGAGTTAGAGAAGAGTAGAAAAATATAATAAAATTTATTGTTTTGCCTTAAGGAAGAATAAAATTTATTTGGTAAGTCCAAAAGTAGATCTCTAAAATGTGGGGAAAATTACAAAGTGAATACCAATAGTAGTAGACAGTTTTCTATTCTCTGTCCTTGTTTACTTTTTCTTTTATTTTTTCTTCCATATTTCTGTCCTTGACTTTTACTGATAATGATTCCTTGAAGTTATGTTTGTAGTGGTAAGAAAATTATACATTTATTAATAAATACTTGAAGTTATGTTAATAGTTCATGTTTGCACAGAGGGCAAACAGCACACAAATAACCTGACTCCCTGATAAGTTTTAAGAATAGTTATAGAGTTAGCTGTCTCCACAGAGTCTCTCCAGAGGATCGCAATAGGCTCAAACTACAGAGGAAAGACAGGTTGAGATTAAATTGGGCAAAACTAAACTGAATGAAACACAGAAAATAAAAAAGAGGATTGGGGGACAGGAAAAAAAATTTGGTTTAAAGTACTCTCAAAGCTAATATCATACTTATTGGTGAAAGATAAAGCTTTTCCCCTAAGAAGAAGAACAAGACAAGGGTGTATGCTTCTATTCAACACTGAACTGGAATTTCTAGCCATAGCAACTAGGCAAGAAAAAAACAACACTATCCAAATTGCAAAGGAAGAAGTAAAAATATATTTTCACAGATGACATGATATTATATAGAGAAAATCCTTTAAAATCCTCAAAAACTACTAGAGCTAATAAATTAATTCAACAGTTTTATTAACAACAGAAAAATAGTAGTATTTCTATCTTCTAGCAATGAGCTATCAATCTGAAAAAGAAATTAAGAAAGAATTCCACTTAGATTAGTATAAAAAAGAATAAAACATGTAGGAATAAATTTAACCTAGAAAGTACAATATTTTGGTGCTAGTTGCAACCCTGAGACTCTGCTTTTGCAAATTTGGGGTCAAACTGAATGCTAGTTGCCTGTGACCATCTGTGCACTGGTTTATAAACCTCTTTAGAATGGAGGCTGTGTCTCAAACATCTTTGCTTCTCTACAAATAGATGGCATAGTGTCTGGCACATAGTGGATGGTTCAATAAAGATTACTTTGTAAATGAATTAAAAAACATAATCTATGGTAAGTGAAAAAAAACGCCTTTAACAACCTGGAGAAGCCTATATTGAGGATGTATGGAATTAATGCTTTCTGGAGAGAATTGTACTATTAATTTACATAATAAGATAAAATTCTAAAATTTTAAAGAAGTAGTATATATTTTTTAACTGGCAAAATAAATGCGAAAAATAAGCAAAACTTGCCCTAGCTGGTTTGGCTCAGTGAATAGAGCATTGGCCCTCAGACTGAAGGGTCCTGGGTTTGATTTTGGTCAGGGGCATGTACCTTGGTTGCAGCTTTGATCCCAGCTCCAGTCAGGGCGCATGCAGGAGGCAACCAATTGATATGTCTCTCTCACATTGATGTTTCTCTTTCTGTCTCTTCCCTTCCCTTCTACTCTCTATCTATAAAAATAAAAGCAAAATTTGCCCTAGCCAGTGTACCTCAGTGGTTACAGCATCAGCCCAGAGTCACAGGTTCAATTCTGGGCAAGGACACATACCTGGGTTGCAGCCAATTGATCTCTCTCTCTCTCTCTCTCTCTCTCTCTATCTATCTCTCTTTCCCCTTCCACTCTCTCTAAAATGTCAATGGAAAAAAAAATCCTTACCCAGCCTTGGGTAAGGATTAACAAGAACAACAACAACAAAAAGAAAAACTTACAAAAATGTTACTTCCTGGGTGATATTAATTATACTGTTAAATGTAAAATAAGCACTACTAGGTAATTTATATAATGTATATTCATGTAATATATAAACAAAATTAAATATAGTGACATCAAGTCCACCTCCCTTGGAAGACAGCCTTCTTGTAAGATTTAGTCTTTCCTTGCGAGACCAGTCCACTTCTGTACAAGAGAGAGGACTTGAGCCAAATGTCTCTCCCATATTTGGGTCTTTCCTTGACCACTCCAGATGGTTGTGCAGTTGGTAAAGTGCCTGTTCTAGGGAATCAAGTCAAGGCTAAAATTAGGATTAATAATCTGTCTCTATAATAATCTGTCTCTCCTGTGGAGGAGGGAGCTTAACTTCAGAGGAAAAGGGAGGCAGCAGCCCCTCCTATACCCTGTGCCCTGAGGAGATGTGCTTATTATTAGGATCCTATTGGGACAAAGAATATGAAGGATGAAGTGGCCTAAGAGCTAAGGAGGAGACATTAAAGGCCCTTTAAATTTCTCTTTGAAGACTTCTACTCTCCTAATTTCCTTTTCTCCTTCCTTTCTTTTCATTTCCTTTATTTTTTTTAAAAAAAACATGTTTTTTATTGATTTTTAGAGTGATAAGAAGGGAGAGGGTTAGAGAGATGGAAGCATGATGAGAGAGAAACATCGTCAATCGGCTGCCTCCTGTATGCCCTGTACTGGGAATGGAGTCCACAACCCCGTCATGTGCCCTGACCCAAATCAAACCAGTGACCTCTTGGTTCCTGGGTCAATGCTAAACCACTGGGCCAGTCTCACTTCTTTTATTATCACTCTGTTAATTAATACTCCTGACCCCCATTGGGAATTCCCCAGGACTTTTCTTTGGCCTTCTATTTTTGTCTGTCAACAACCTTCCACTCTCCCATGTGTTGCCTCCTACAGCTTCTCTGATCATCTCAGATTTTCATTATCTTCCTCCTAAATGATTTCAATTTATTGTATGACTTCCTCTTCTTTAGTGTTTTCCAATTTTTGTTCATTTCAGCCTAAAATCTTCCTGATAAACTTATTTTTTCTAATAAACTTTGTTCATAATCCCAATCATTTATTGTGTCCCCTGCAGAGCATCCCCAGCACTTATAACATTGGGCTCAAGGTTGTTACCCAGCATTCAAAGCCTTCCACAGTGAATCTCCACCTATCTTTCTGGGTTGTGTCTGGATTCCATAAAGAAACGCTCAACTCCAGCCTAACAGCCCTACTTGCCATTGCCATATCTTCACCACGGTCCTTCCAATGCCGCTGTCACCACTCATGTGACCCCCATGCATCTGCCTCCATCTATCAAATTCTACCTCTTCTGTCAAGACCAGCTTATTTCTCAAGTTCTTAATGAAAACTTTCATGTTCACCCTTGAGGAAGTGATTTTCTCTCTCTCTCTCTCTCTCTCTCTCTCTTTTAAAAATATATTTTATTGGTTTTTTACAGAGAGAAAGGGAGAGAGATAGAGAGTTAGAAACATTCATCAGCTGTCTCCTGCACACCCCCCACTGGAGATGTGCCCGCAACCAAGGTACATGCCCTTGACCGGAGTCGAACCTGGGACCCTTCAGTTCGCAGGCTGACACTCTATCCACTGAGCCAAACCGGTCAGGGAGGAAGTGGTTTATCTTTTCTAGCCGCTTTTATGCTATTGAAGGTCTGTGCCTCTCAATTATCACACATCCCCTGGTACTAAAATAATGTGTGGATATATCTTTTATTCCATCAAGGATTATACTTTCCTGGGAAGCAGGAACTGTGTCATAATTCTTTGGGTCATCCTGCTACCTTGAAAAGTAAAATAAATTATTTAATAACTGGCTTTTAACTGAGTGGAATTTTCCTTTCATGAAGTTATAAAAGCAAACAACAGGAAAGGGTCAAGGAAAAATTCCTTATCTTCTATACCTGGAAGTATTCAGTGAACTAAGTACAAGATGAGGAGAAAACTATACTTTGAAATTATATTTAAGAATCATGCTTTTTGTAAATATATTTGGATGTATTATGAAAAAAATATTTCCTTTTCTTCCTTTGAAATATCTTTCTTAGGGGATATTGGAAAATTTTCTATTTTTGTATCTGATTCCTGTTTGCTTTTTAAAAAGTTGTTGAATTTATCAAGATGACATTGGTTAATAAAATTATGTAGGTAAATAACACTGCAATAAACATTAGGGTGCATATATTCTTTTGAATTAATGTTTTGGGTTTCTTTGGATATATTCCCAGAAGTGGAATCGCTGGGTGGCAGTTACATTTTTAATTTTTTGAGGTAACTCCATACTGCTTTCCACAGTGGCTGCACCAATTTGCATTCCCACCAACAGTGCACAAGGGTTCCCTTTTTTCCACATCCTCGCCAACATTATTGTTTGTTGATTTACTGAGTCTCACTTGCTTTTTATGTTCAAGTTAAGAATTGGTCTATGTAATAACAGGGATGAAGAAAGAAGGGGCTTGGACACTGTTGGGAACTATTCTTCCAGAATTAACCAAGGCACGTTGCAGAGCAAAGTCCCAGAGGAAAAGTTGACAGAGCTGGGGAACAGTCACTGGAACATACAATGGCCTGCAACTCCATCCTTCCCAATCTGCCCTTGCTCAGTTCCTGATTAGGAAGTTTGCAAAGACAAGTGATCATTGTCTTAGGAAAGTGCAGGTGGTATGAGTAGGCAGGAAGTGAGAGGGACTATCTTTGTTTGAGAATGAGTGCTCAACTTGTCATCAAAAGCATTCTTTCCTTGTGGCCTTCCACACTCACTTGGAACACCTGCTGAGTGTGTGTACAGTGGCACAGTGTTGTTATTCTCGGTACCAGAAGATGTCATACAGGTTGTATTGTGTCCTTATCCTTAAGGAATGAGGAAGAGGGAATCAGAGCAGACAGATGAAGGTTGTGACATATTTACTCAGTCTTTCTTTGAGCCTGAAAATCAACCCAGTAATTTCCTTTGTGTCTATGATCTCAGAGTTACTCGCAAATTACACAAACTGGATCCTTTTACTGGATTATTGGATTCGCTGTTAATATGCAAATGTAGGAGTCATCTCAGATACTAGCTCTGACTTTAGACATACCTGATATACACCCGCATTCTTTTCACAATCAAATTCAAAACTTACCTTGTTTTTCTATTTCAGCAGGGACTCGAAATAACTCAGAACATCCTCTAATAAGTAAGTATCAATCTAGTTAAATAAAATTAAGGGAACTAGATTGTTTGATGGCTGGAGAAACAATAAAAGTTGGATCTTCTTAATTGAATGGATTTGTTTGTATTAGGTTATCTGTTGTGGGAACCTTCGTTCTTATTCCTATCCACACCCCTCTCCCAGACAGCTGTGTCTGCAGCTGCAGCATGAATAATACAACATTTGTTACCACTCTGAATTTTCAAACCACATTATACCCAGTTCCAGTAGCTCCTATAACCCCCCAGAAACAAGAATATGGGGAAGCTAAAATGTAACTATATTAATACATTTAAAAATAAAGCTTTTCTGCATAAAAAATTAAGACAAGTATGAAATTAAAGATGTATTATGCATTCTGATATTTTTATTCTGTAATGTTTAATTTTTAAATTTTATTTTTGATCAATTAAATTATTTCATGAGCCAAAAATAAGTTGCACCCTACCATGGATAAACATGGCCTTAATGCATGTTAACATTGATCAAAAGTAATGAGCACCAGCTATATGTCCAGCAAACCATATCTGAAGATGTCAAAAATATCTGGAGATACCAAAAGTATTTGGTATTTGGAGATAATAAAGAGTTATGAGACAATTAAAAGGCATTGTGTTAATGGAACTTGAATCAAGTATCAGAAAGATGTTAACTTGAGTCCCAATTGCGCTCAGTATCTGTCTGACCTGGGGCAAGTCTTGGAACAATAAAACTCTTCTCAAGGCATAGGCTAGATAAAAATAATGGCTTTATTATTTTTCTTAAGTTATAAGTATGAGTTAAATAAGATAATGTAAAGGAAAGGGCTTGGTGAAGTGTTTTCTGAGAGCTTTATGGATGTTGTTTTACAGGAGATTAACCTGAGCAGAATGAAGGATAATTGTTGCAAAAAATAAATAAATTTTAACCTAGAACCACCAACATATGCTCAGCAATAAAGCAAGAAGTGAGAGAGGACTAGTGCTTGGGATTCTTGGGGAAGGGAAATGGAGGCATCTTCTTTCTTCAAGTTCTAACAATGCAGAGGGTGTTGCCGATCCTAATATGCTTCAGATTTCCTAACTGTCTTTAGCATTGACTGACATTTCAGATACAACCAGTGCTGCAAGACCACCCTTCAAGAACAAGATGGAGGACACACCATTGGTCCTTTATTGTTTGCTTCCTTTGGGAGGATTGTTTCTACTCATTACCTGTTTCTACCTATTCTGCTGCCTGAAAAGGCACCAAGGTGGGTTCCATCTTCCCTCTACTGCTCTGTGCCACACATTTAGGGTTCAATTACTAGGACTGATATACTTGTAGTTGGTTTCTGTTGTTTTCTTTACCAACATTTTGCAACAAACCATGGGTAATGCTTTCCTGGAGAACAACTCATCCTCCCACCAAAAAGCCTCATGGATTAATTTAGGTTCGCTCTAGTCATGGTGAGACATGCTCACCACAGCACAGCCAAGCGTTGTGGTAAGGAGGGAACATTGCTGAAATTTACTCATTCTACTTGAGTCAATCTTTGGTCTGTGCGGGAAGCTTTTTTAAATGTTCAGCGTGTTGAAAGGGAGGTTGAAAATAATCTCTTGGCATGTCTGATTTGAATTAGTTTGTCTCATTCTCCTTTTCACACCACACCACACCCTGCCAGTCACACATGCCCTTGTCTATTCGAAGGCCCACTGTCCTCAGAGAAAATTCATTTGCTTGCATTTTCTGTTGCCATTACAAACACATGCTTGAACTGAGCCCGCACTCAACAATCGTAATAAAAATGTGGGGTTTGCATGATGGAGGAAGTGTGATACATTTTGAACCATGCCTTTCTGCTTTTGTAAGAATTCCATCAATGTCACGAGGGAACACTTAAACACATAAGAGACAGATGTATGGAGAATTCTGATCTAGCTCTGGTCTGAACAACTCTATTCTTTCTCTCTCCTTTGTTCCTCTCTGCCATCTACTCCCATCCCTTTTCCCACAATAGCAGCCACAGTGTAGCCATAGAAACTAAGTCATACAAAGAAACCCTTATTTCTGCCATAAGAGAAATCTTTGTCTGGGCAGAAATGTTTCTGGCATTTTCCACTGAGGACTTCTGGAGCCCAGAACCTCCTCAGAATCCTGAGAGAGTCTTCTGTAACCCCAATTCCACATCCACAACTCCCAGGATCTTTCCATTGTTCCTCTCCAAGCTTCACCACGTTTTCTGAAGCTGTTGGGACCTCTCTCAGATCTCAGGAAGAGTCGGGGGTAAATCCTTTTATTTCCCACATCCAAAGTGAACTTGCAGGTAGGAAGTTCTATGCAGGTGACCAGACAGCCCTGTGTCTGGCACTGAGTATAGATTGTCCGCAAACTAGGATTTCCAACCTTTCAAAAGTAATGTCCCAGATGCTATCTCTGCCTCTGAATAAATATGTCGGAGGGCTCTCTGGAGTGAGAAGTGAAGAAAATGGGGCAGCATGAGCTCACAAAAATGAGTTTGTGCGCTGTGCTAGACACAGCAAATAAACAAGCCAAACTAACAATAATGCTCTCACTGGTATGCAAGTGGGTGGGAATGTGTAGAGCGGCATTCCACCTCTGCTCTAGGGACTGAATTTCAAGTAAGCAGTCTGATTCCAGAATCCACATTCTTACCACAACCCTCACTTACAGGGATTTGGGGAAAAAATTTGTGTTGTTCTTTACTCCTTTTAGTTTCTTATTTTTCTTTTTGAATTCCAGGGGAACAAAAGGAGCCTTCTAATACACCAGAAAGTGGAATTAACCTGGTATGTTCACCGTATCTGTTAAAACAAATGCAATCTATGTTATTTCATGTTAACATTTATATTTTTATTTGAGTCTCTATAACACTCACCATGTGCCAGACATATCCCAAGTGCTATATATATTGATTTACTTAAAAATTTGATTATTTTAAATCCACCTCCATTTGCAGCAGAGATTCCTCAGGATTAACAAGTCTCAGACTAAGTTGGGTTTTTTTTGTTTGTTTGTTTGTTTGTTTTGTTTTTTGGGTGTTTTTTTTTTTTTTTTTTTTGAAGAGCCTGGTTGGCAGTACAGGCTCAAAACAGAAAAGTCAGAGACTGAACCACAGATCGTGGCTCTGCTCTTGGCCAGTTGTGTGACTTCAGGCTATTCATTTATCCACACAAATACCTTAAAGTCCTTCTGGAAGAGAGTTGAGACTTAATAAAGGAATGAACCATAAATAACCTCATAAAATGAAATATGATTGCTTCATAAATCACACCAGCAGATAAAGAAGCCTGGCGGAAGTTGGAGCTACTATGCAAAAGTCTCTCATATGTGTGTGGGCTCATCAAGGAGGAGACCTCCCAGACAAAGCAAAGATGTTTTGGAGGCAATGCCAAGTTTTCCGACAAGTTCTTAAAATATAAACTTGAGTCTTCATTTTTGGGTTCAATATTGTATAAATATTGGAACTCGAAAAAGAATGTAAGATGGGGTGATATATTTCTGAAAAATTTTTTTTATTAAACTCTTTGTTGAAAAGAAATACTGCCCTGGCTGGGTGGTTCGGTGGTTGCAGCATTGTCCTGGACACCAAAAGGTTACAGGCTGGGTGCTAATTACAACTCCACAGATCCATAAGGGACACACTCAGGGGGCAGACTCAGTGAGCACCAAAGCCCCACTGAAGCAAGTCTTGCCCCATAAGGGTGTCTTCAGCACAGAAGTTCTCCCACCGTAGACACAGCTGATTCTCACAGCCAATTGGCCTGGAGGTCAAATACTCCCAGTGTTACCTACAACAATCAAGGCTTAACTACAACTAGTCTGTGCACAAAGACCACAAGGGGGTGCACCAAGAGTGTCTAACTCAGGTAATTGGGACACTTAGCACAGAAAGCCATTCTATCGACACAGCGAAGCATAAAAAATGCCAAGACCAAGAAACAAGACACAAATGACAGAAATGGAGGAAAGCAAATTACTGGATATAGAGTTCAAAACCACACTTTTTAGGTTTTTCAAGAATTTTCTAGAAACCGCCGATAAATGTAGTGAGATCCTCAAGAAATCTAGTGAGACCCTCGATGTTGTGATAAAGGACCAACTAGAAATTAAGCATACACTGACTGAAATAAAGAATATTATACAGACCCCCAACAGCAGACCAGAGGATCGCAAGAATCAAGTCAAAGATCTGAAATATGAAGAAGCAAAAAACACCCAACCCGAAAATGCCAAGAGCAAAAGACAAAGAGAGAATCCTAAAAGCAGCAAGAGAAAGACAGTCAGTTACCTACAAGGGAGTACCCATACGACTGTCAGTTGATTTCTCAACAGAAACTTTGCAGGCCAGAAGGGAGTGGCAAGAAATATTCAAAGTGATGAATACCAAGAACCTACAACCAAGATTACTTTATCCAGCAAAGCTATCATTCAGAAGTGAAGGTCAGATAAAGAGCTTCACAGATAAGAAAAAGCTAAAGGAGTTCATCACCACCAAACCAGTATTATATGAAATGCTGAAAGGTATCCTTTAAGAAGAGGAAGAAGAAGAAAAAGGTAAAGATACAAATTATGAACAACAAATACACATCTATCAACAAGTGAATCTAAAAATCAAGTGAATAAATAATCTGATGAACAGTATGAGCTGGTGGTTATAATAGAATCAGGGACATAGAAAGCGAATGGACTGACAATTGTTGGGGGGGAAAGGGGTGTGGAGGGTGCGGGAAGAGATTGGACAATAATCGTGCACCTATGGATGAGGACAGTGGATGGGGAGTGAGGGCGGAGGGAAGGGTGGGAACTGAGTAGAGGGAAGTTATGGTGGGAAAAAAGAGGAACCAATAAAATAATCTGAACAATAAAGATTTAATTAAAAAAAAGAAAGGGTGCCATATTAGATCTCTGAGACTGACTACAAATTTCTTAAAAAGGCACCTGTATGGGAACCATGGAATAGAAATCCAAAGTAGAGAAAGGAACTGGTAAACACTTGGCAGACACATATAAAAGCCAGAGTTCTCATCTTATTCCAGAATGGTCCTTTAAGGGTATAAAAGTGCTGGTATACTAAAAACCACTAACTTGTACACTTAAAAAGTGAATTTTAAGGTACAGTGGGGCCTTGACTTACGAGTGTCCCGACTAACGAGTTTTTTGAGTTACCAGCTGTCTCTCAGCCGATTTTTTGCATTGAGTTGATAGAGTAATTTGAGTTAACGAGCTCGGTCTCGGAACGAATTAAACTCGTAAGTCAAGGCCCCACTGTATACAAATTATGTCTCAACACGTTTTTAAAAGTGTGTTGTAAACTGGACAGTGCCATACAAATACAGAGTAGGAAAGCTGCTTCAACATTTGCCATCTCTGCCCACCACAGCAAGGTGCACCCACCTTGTGCATCCACCCTTTGATGAGGTGCCCACAGGGTAAGTTCAGCCACAGAGCACCACGTTTTCTTTACCCCACTCATTCTAACTGTTTTCCATGGAAATGAGACATGTTTTGGAAAGAAGCCAGGTAACAGTCGACAGACACAGATTGAAAAATTCAACAGAGAACTTGATATATTGAATATTTATGTCTATCAGGTCACATGGCAGTCTTCTTCTTCACCGCTCCTCCGTAGACTTTAACCAGGCTCCTTTGCGTGAAGGTTGGAGCACTTTTCATCTGAGCTAAGAGACAGGGACAAAGGGACATTGAAAACAATCTCTAATGCTCTCCGTCATCCAGCCTTAGTGTTATTTCCTGGGCAGACACCTCATCAGAGGGAGGCAGTGTACTCAGCAGTTACCACCTAGTTTTTCAGGCCCACACATGCTTGTGTGGTAGAACTCTGCTGAGGAGAAGTGGATGGACCACTGCACACATAGCAGTGAAAACAACATAGGGCCATATGAGGCATGTAGACTATCAAAAACTGTGGACCTGATACCTTAAAGCAGTTAGGCCAAAGTTCAAGAACATGAATGACAATTTTGGGATTTAAAATTTGAAATAAGATGACATCTTCATTTTTACCAGTTGAGTCCCCCTGTATAACTAGGAATTGCAAACAAATAATTGAAAAGAGTGAAAAATATCAGGATCCATTTACTCTCTGTTTCCATAAGTTCACCTTTTTTACAGAAGCTTTCTGTAAGATATTTTACTCTATTTGAAAGCGTAAGAATTTTCTTGTGATATAAATAACAATAGAAATATTTTAAACTTTTCCTAAGCTTTGCTCCCCCCAAAATAAAACCCCAGCAAAGTTTCAATTCCAGGTATTAAATTATAATACTATATCTTGGATAAATCATAATATTTATTTTTTCTGCACCTTAGAGGGTATCTGTTCTGCTTTATCTTTAATAATTTTATTCTAAACCATATAAATACTGTCCATTATGTTGTAGGTTGCCTGAAGTCCCTGAGAAATATTTGGTGCTTTTTTCATAAATTTGGGCTCCACTTTTCATCTTGAAGAGGGATTTAAAAGTGTTCTGTGGTCTCAAAAGTGTCCAATAATATAGCACAAAGTAACTATTTGGGACGAACATAGTGGTCCTTAAGCTTTTATCCTTTAATAAGGAAGAATATGTTTTAAAAAATAAATGTCAACAGCATATGTGAGGAAAAGTTTATTATTTCTCCCCATGTACCGTAGAAGGACTCAATTTAGCCTGCACTTATAGTTTGCTAATAAATATGCACCACCACATCTTAAAATTATAATTAAAGCAATTTTTTTCTCTTGTAGGTTGATGTTCCTTGGCCCTTTAGACGTGAGCAAATTGAAGTGGACACCAGACAAAATCCCCAAACACTGCCATCAGAAACTGATGTTTATGATAATGACCCCTGGGTCAGTGTCCAGGAAGAGTCTGGGGTTTATTCTAACCCACGTCTGGAGGAAAACAAACAGGGCATTGTTTATGCTTCGCTGAACCACTCTGTCATTGAAATGAACTCAAGGCAGGCAAGAAATGTGAAAGAAGCACCTACAGAATATGCAGCCATATGTGTGAGGAGTTAATTCTCGCCCCGCTCTCCCACCAGTGGTCACTGGATGATCAGCATGTCCATACCATTACTTGAGACCTACAGAATGTCAAATGATATTCCTTGACCTGAGAAGATTCACTTTCAGGGGGGCATGTTGGAGCTTGGATCTTAAAGGTCATTGGGACAAATGACTAAGTTCTGCCACAAAAATTTTTTGGAGCATTTTATGTTATTGCCATGAACAACATCTTCTCTCCAAAACGGAGTGATATCATGAATAGCAGTGTAGTAGAACATTTAAACTTAGCTACATTTTACCCAATATATAAAATTAATATTTTCTTTGGAGCTGTCAGAAACGCATGTAGGGAAGAGAGATATGTGTTATCTGCATCAGTTCACTACACACTCTTGAAAAAGAATGTCCAATTTAACTAACCATAAATATGGAAATGATAGTATGTTTATTTCCAGTCAATCTTTGATAATAAGAAATTTTCCTCTGTCAAACTAATGTTGAGGTTTCTTATATGTAAAAGAGGAATCATTTTAGACTTGATGATATAAGAAAGTAATGAAAAGAATAGATCGTGCAATAAAGATGTGGAATATACCAACTAGATGTGGGTAGATGTTCCCAACACTGGAGAAACAAATGCTTCTATCCACCCTGTTAGATTGCAAAGCAAATATCTGTGGTGATGGAGCATTTAATGTATGGTGCATTTATAAACAATGTGGTGACTCACTGTTTGGGTTACAAAGTCTAGTATATATGAATTGACATTATGCTGCTGCTGAATTAATATACTTGCGGGTGTCTGAATAAACATAAAAATCAGTGAGAATAGTTTTCATCAGGCAGGTGAATGCTGATGGCTTAAACTGCTTTATGGTTGACCTGATGTCAAACTTAAAGCACAATTAGTTGAATAAAGAAAAGTCAAGAATATTTAGTTGGCAGTATGGGTTAAGATATTTTCAGTCACCACATCTGTATCTTGCTGTTCTTCTTAGTAAAGGAATCAGGGCAGATCATACATAGTATGAGCTGGATAATAGTAGAGCTTGATAACCATTTGTTTTAAATATGGGGTTGCAGCCACTTACAAGTATAGCAAGCATTTTATGATTTCAGTTTTCTGAATTTCCAGAATACTTGAGTCTAATTATTTCAAAAAATAGCCTGAAACTTCATTCAACAGTTTCAGGCTATCGGAGTTCTCTGGTGCTGCTACTAAATAACGCAACAGACCTCATACAGCGCGGACAACAGAGGTTAGAATCCATTTGAACAAATACACGAGCTGCTGCACAAATGAATGTGAAGGGGTGTGTGTGTATGTGTATGTGTGTGGGTATTAGTGTCTAGAAAGAAAGGTGGGTGATTTAGAGAAATGGTAAAAGAGAAGCTGACAAAAGTGACATTCCATTTCAGTTTGCTAAAGAAACTCAGAAAACTAGAGCAAATGAGTTATTAAAGAAAATGTATGAAAATAATGTATGAAATTATGGGGATATGCATATGACATCCCATAAAAGTTTTTGTCCTAAGAAGACTAAACAGATTTTGTGGTGGAGCATTTCTTATGTAACACTGGTGTTAAAATTTTAACCCTTAGATTGGGGTGGTGAGTATTGTTTTAGACTCATTGTTATCCACCCAGTATAATATCATTGCTCCTAGAAATTTGAGCAACCAATTTTGTGTAGTTCTCTTTTCAGCCAAGCTGCATTTACAGGAAACTTATGTACAAAAGATAAATTAGAATAGCTTGTGGTATTCTTAAAAATAGAAACAGGAAGAACAGGGAGGATACACTTAGCTGTCCTTATCAGATAAACACACAAAGTTGAACAGTTCCTTCATAATGAGTTTAAATATATATATATATATATATATATATATATATATATATATATATTT